AGCATAACTGAATAATCAGATGAGGGACAGTTTGCTATGTCTGCTAGGTGGCTAAAGTCTGATCCTCAGAGCCTATGGTTTGGACGGTCTGCAACACTTGGGCCCACAGGGACTTAAACTCCTAACCGGGTCTGCACGGTCTGCATCACATTCCCCCTTATTTATTATTTGTTTAAGGGACGCTGCCTGTTTGGCTGGTAGTTTTGAACTGCTAACTTTGAGGTTAGCAGCCAGACTTGCAACCAATATATTACCAGAGCTCCTTATGAGTTAGCATTAGGGTTTGAGTTCAAGGGTTAGAGGGTTAGGGCCTATCGTCTTGTGGTTCTTGAGGCTCCCTTTAAAGGGTCTAGGAGAGGATCCGTCATCATTTCGTCCATCTTCTGGTGTCCCTATATTGTGGCTCTAATCTGTTCCTCTGTCTTCACATAGCCGCCTTATTTCTTCTCCATCTCCTCTGTGAGTCTATATAAGGACACTGCTCATTGGCATCAGGGCCCATCTCATCTTCAGGCCTTTAAATTCACTTCATCTTCAAAGACCCTTTGTTCAAATAAGGCCTAGCGTATAGGGGTTAGGACATGCACAGTTTCTGGGGGAACACAATTCAGCTCACTGCAGCAGGGTTCTAATGTGGCGCTACAGGATGAGCACTGGACTGCTAACCATAAGGCCGGCAGTTCAAATCCACCAGCCGATCCTCGGAAACCCTATCCAGGATCGCTATGAGTTGGAACCGACTGGACGGCATTTCAGAACAAAATGGTAGGATGGCTGTGGAGCGAGGGGAGAAGCAGCCCCACTCCTGTGCCTTCAGGACAGAGGGCACCTGGAGAAAAGCATCACTAGCCACCCCGCAGGGCCCTGAGCGAACCTGTGGACGTGGTTTCACCTGTGGGAAGCTTCCCCTGCAGCTGCTCTGGTCAAATAGTAACGGAAGCCCGCTCCCAGGAAAGGAAAACTTCCTCCGCCTGCAGCTGCCTCCAGCGCCCTCTACTGACAAAGTGTAACATCGTTCCAGCTGCCTAAGGAAAAACACTTGATGGTCTGACCTTCTCACCCCGTCAGCAACAAAGTGTGAATTTAAAAATGAGAGGCGTAGGGTTGGAACTGTCACCCTAAGTCCCCCCATTGTGCCCCAGTGGTTGCAGGTAGAAACAGCCATAGCCTGGGAGTGGGGTGGTCAAGACCTTGGAGGGGCCAGAGAGACTGTGGGCGGCTGATGACCAGGTCTGTGCAGGACCCCCGGGTTCTGAGACCAGAAGGAGAGGGCAGGTGGAACACAGCCGATGGAATGGACAGCTCATGGGTCCTGGGGACTCTGAAGCCTGAGGAGATCTGGAGAACTGGGTTTCCTGGGGTCTCAGGAGTGGACAGGAGACCAGGGGGCTCTTTCCTGATAGACTAAACAGGCCCAGAACACGTTCTCCAATCATTTAAACCACACTGTTGTTAAGTGCCGTGGAGCCAATTTTGACTCATAGCGACCCTGTATGAACTGTTTCTGAGGAACAGCTGGTGGATTTGAACCGCCAACCTTGTGGTTCGCAGTCAGCTGTTTAGCCTAAGTGCCATACCAGAAGTTTAAAACCCAGACTATAGGCTCACATTTTCAGTGGCCGAGCTGCTGTGGAAATTTGGGCTGAGAGTATGAGCTCTCTGTGCCTTCTCCAATGAGGGGATGAGGTCGGTGGCCTGGGCTACAGCTGTGTTTAGAGACAACATTTATTACAACAAAAGGCCAAAGCACACGCAAGAGGATTGGCTGGGAAAGAAAACCACAGTCAACAACATACTTTAGGGATCCTACTGGCTTTTCTACGTCATCCCTTGACATGAAAATGGAAGATCTGTTCAGGTACTCTGCTCTTTCTATACTCTGACAGAGTGTAATGGGGTTATCAGGCTTTCTCTGAAGCCCCTCAGAGCTGTGCAGGTGGAGGTACATGGTGGTTGCATTTCCTTCTCCTGTGTCCAATGAGGTATTGCTTCTGACTAAAGCCTCGCCCACACTCCCTGCAGACATAGGGCTTCTCCC